CTCCTGCAGCCCAGGCTGGCAGCACTTCCCTGCCTGTCTTTCTCCTCGAGGTTTCTTCCCGGCAGCAGGGACAGCTGCTGCTGCTCCCGGCCTCTGCTTCGCTGTGGTATTTGTCCAGAGCAAACTAGCTGACGATGACTCCGGAGAAGGCCAGCCAAGGCCTGAGAGAGGAGATTTCCTTATTTGGGTACCTGCTAACTTTGGGCCAGGAGGGAGTTGTTCCTCCTGGTTTCTTGGCAGAGATGCTTGATGACTATTTTGTCCTCCCGACTGCGGCGCGTGACCCATTAGGAGAAATCTTTTGGAAGGGCTTTGTGCTCATTAGTTTGTTCTATTTAACAAACGTTTTGCTATTAGGGTTTCAGGGACTGTAGCCATTGCTAAAGCCCTTTCTCTCTTCTGGCAGGTTATGGTTGTTGGGTTTTGTCGGCCCTCTGCTAAAAGTGTGAAGTCACGTGACAGCTAATTTGTGGATTGCGATGCGTATGGGGATGAAGCAGATAAGCTTGGCCCTTTCTGAGGCAGACATTTATTGTATGGTTGCCAATGAGTGTGGGTGACCGACCTCTCTGAGTCCTACCTGTTCCTGGGTACAAGCGGGGTGGGTTGGACTGGATCTTGCTCTCATGCTGTCATCATACAGTATTTGTTTTCCTGGGTTTGGATCCAGCAGTAGTATATGCACATAGATCTATTTATTCCATGGAAGTGTCTAGACACTTTAAAATAAAGCGTGGATAAATGTTTGCAAGTTTGAAAGTAGAGTTGGTAGGTAGAGGCCACAGGTCTCTCACAGGCGTTCCGGATTCTGACTGTAGCTGACAGGCAGGACTGTGGTGATGTTAGTCTGTGATTATAACTACAAAATGATTTCTTTCTCTAGGTTCACAAGTATTTTTGCACATCACAATTCCGCAGAGGTTACTCTCAAATACAGCTGGAGAGAAGGTACTTAAGTAATCAAGTTATTGCATGTGTGTATGTGTGCACGTGAGTGGCTTTACCGACAGAGGAATATAATCTGGAGGAGTTAAGGTGTGACAGGTAGAGGGACAGTTTTAGGAAACCGTGCTCTGCCTAGCGCAGGAGGCGGGGGATGCGGGATGGCCCGCTCTGGTACCTTAGCAGGAGGCGTCAGACCTGCGCTGTCGGCACAGCCGTCGCTGTGCCTTTCCCTCGAAGAAGCACCGAGCGTTTGCTTGTTGAGGCCTTGTAATTTTCCCGCGTGTTTTGTGCGTTGCCCTCGGGGCATGCTTTTCTGAAGGTGGTGTTCCTAATGCTCCCTTTCTCTGCTTCTCTGCGTGCCCTAGGACACCACAGTGTCCTATGTCCTCACGATAGAAGGGAGGCCGTACACCATTCACCTGAGGCAGCAGTAAGTTTGGCTTTGTCTTTCCCCGCCCCGGCGGCTGGGCTGGTCCTGCCGGAGCGCGTCCGGTTGTGGGGGGCGGTTTCTGCCCGCAAGCGTTCAAGCTGGCCCTGCCCCAGCGAGCTGTTTGCAGCCTCTGCAGCGGTTGGGAACGTGCCCCGTTAGCGGGCGCATCTCCGGCTCCGCGGCGGGTGCGTGCTGGGGGGCGGGGGGGATGTTTGTGCCTGTGGCCCTGATGTGACCGTCAGCGGTTTTCTGATCTGCCAGACACCCGAGCACCATCTGTGTGACAGGGCAGGTTGCAGGACCTCATGCAAGCTGGAAGAACTTTAAGAGCATTTCAGAGCAATTTCAGAGCATTTTTCTATCTTTCTTTTCTAGGCTCTTTTTATCTGATGATTTCAAGATTTACACATATAATGAGAAGGGGTCTTTGCATTCTGATTTGCCCCATATCAAGGTAATCTTGGTTTTCTTTGTTTTTCGGTGTCTTAGTTATTCCAGGGTAGCCCTGCTATTCAGTATTTTGGGAGATGTCTCTAGTTATTCCAGTGGGGCAGTACTTCCTTTCTTTCTCCACGTTTTTGCTTCCTAAGCAAGGCAAGAGATACTGGAGAAACATATAAAGCTTTCCTTGAAAACGCACAGATAGATTCATCTTTCTGAAGGCTTTAACGTTTTGGTGAATCGCAGAGTCGCTCAGTTCAAAGACTAAGCCTGAGCGTGACTACAGTTTTTCACCTCCTGAGTGGCCAAGAAAAGAGCAATCATCCCACAGCAGTGCTGCTCAGGAGAAGACAGGCATAAGCACTCCATAGCCTCACTAAAGGATTTGTGTTTAATTACTAGAGCAAAAAGACAGATTCTCAAGAAAATCTTCATTGCACCATCATCTGAGAATTGCTCTTATGGCTCAGTAAGGGATTGCTTTGCTCTTGTTTGGATTTAGGATGATTGCTACTACCGCGGATATATCGAAGGCTTCCCAGGTTCAGCCGTGACTCTCAGTACCTGCTCTGGGCTCAGGTAACAGGGTCAGCACCTCTCCCTCGCAGTGGCATACGTTAGTGCGTGTGTGCAGCTGCGGGCCGTTGTTGGGAAGAAGCCAGCCGTTGCCCGCCAGCAGCATGCAGCATGCCGTGGCTTCTGCTCTGAATGGCACTTGAGGCGGAGCGCGGCTTCCCGGGGACTGCCATGTGCACCCAGTGGCAGATGTCGTTCCTGGTCAAGGCAGCCACTGTCCTTAGGTCTCACAGAGATGGACCCCAGGCAGAGCGTCCGTGTGTTGCGGCTGCGGTGGCAGCTGCAGGTACCATCTGCACCGTTTGCCTTTGCAGAGGCTTGCTGCAGTTTGAGAACGTGAGCTATGGGATTGAGCCCCGGGTTTATTCACCTGCATTTGAGCACTTCGTGTATCAGATGAGTAATGAGGACACAGCAGGTTTCCTCTTTGCAAATGTCCACGCTGAGAGAGGGAAAGACAAGGTGGCAGCAGAGGAGATGTCTTATAAAGTGCACACAGATCAAGTGAGTGCTTGCTTATTTTGAAGGCAGAGCTGAGGCCGTGTGAGCATCTGCTGTGGGAGGGGTGTATTTCTGCGGGAAGTTCTGTCTGGTGTGAACCCCAGAAGGACGGAGATGAGAGGCGGTCTTTTAAGAGGGCAAGTGCGTGTGATAAGTGTGGCAGGGGTTGTGGGGTGTGTGTCCCAGTGCCCAAGGAGAGGCGTTTTTGCGAGCTACCTGTTTTCTTGTTTGATTTGTAAATGCGGCAGTCTTTCTCCTTCTAGTTCTCAAAGAGTTGGGCAGTAATGTGTTGTCTGCTTTGGGCAGTTGTTCCTGTGGCTGTCAGAGGGCCCTGGTTTTCCTATTAGCAGTGCGTAAATGCTGTTACTGAAAGACGTGATGTTTGCCTTACATTTTAATATAGGCCTTTCCCATTCTGCTCTGAAAACAAAACCAGGAGATGATGCTGCTTTATGGAGGCTTTAGAGTCTCCTAGTTTCTCAGAAAAGTTATCATTTCTTACATTTTCTGACTGAAATGGGCGAGAAGTAATTAACAGTAAGAATTTTTTTTTTTCCAGTTGGTGGCAAGCCTCCCCAGATTTATGGAACTGTATATAGTTTTGGAAAAGGCTTTGGTAAGTCTGTATCAGTCAATTTTTCTTATATTTGTTTTCTTTGGTCTTGAAAGTACTGGTATAAAGCTTTGTCATGATCTTCTAGCGATCCGTAACTCGTGGCCAGGCATCATTCTGTAAGAGCCAATTTTGAAAAGCAGTTGTGTTTGTTAGGAGCATGGCAATGAGCTCACCCTTGTAGAAATTTCTGCTATTTGAAGATGATGATGGGATGCTCTGTATGGTAAATAATTTAGATATAATCTCACGTTATTTTCCAGTACCACTACATGGGTTCAGATAAAGATATTGTGACACAGAAGGTAGTTCAGATCATCAGTTTTCTCAGTAATGTAAGTTTTTCCTGTTTTTTATGTGTTGAAATGGGAAACTTGGGTGTCTTATTGCAGCCTTCTAAAGGCTAGGTATTGGTAGGATTTGCCTGTTTTTTGAGAAGATTTTTTTAGAAGCATTAATTGTACTTTCTGGAAATATTTGACCTCAGCTTTTTAGCTTTTGCCTTTTTGGTTTAGTCTGCCAAGAGCTCCAAGTTGCTCTAAGGACTTGGCTAGACTGGGTTAAGAGGTGTGGAGAAATTAGGGTTTCATGCTTTGTTGTCCAACACAAACACATGCTCTAAATCAGTGTTGCTGTAGAATAAATTAGCACCTATTTTTAAATCTTGTCAATAACATATTGCCTTTTGATATAATGCTCCACTCGGTGGCCCTCATGCACTTACGTCCGTGTGCCAGAAGCCATCACCACTTTTTGTCAATGCATCTGTTAGAGGCGTGAATAATTTTTTCTGCCTGTATACATAGCATATTTTTTTTTGCGTCAATATTTGATTGTAAATCACAGTAGATAGTGTCTCCTCCTGCCAGCCCAAAAAAATGCAAACATGGACAACTTTGTGTGTTCTGTATGTTTAATTTTTTAAATATCTTTACTCATGCATAGCTTGTCTTTTGATTTATAAGATACTGCTTACTGACCTGCTGTGTTTTGCTCTTTTAGACACATCATTTTTTTTCTTTCAATTTCATTTTTCCTACACTTTTTTCATCATACCCATGCATAACAGCGGTAGATCATTTGTTGCCAACTGCTCCTGTGTGTTTTCCTAAAATACATCAGCTACTAATAAAAATTTAAATGTTACTTCAAATGAAACATATCTGAGCAGCCATTTCTTCTGTTAAATTTTCAGATGTTTAATTCTCTGAAGCTAACAATTGTGCTGTCCTCAGTGGAGTTCTGGACAGATGAGAATAAAATTGTGACAACAGGGGAAGCAGAAGAAGTGCTAGATCGATTTTTACAGTGGAAACAGGAGAATCTTTTTCTGCAGCCATATGGCGTACCTTATTTATTTCTGTAAGATTAAAGTTTTTGTATTATTTAAGAGCGAACAGTAACAACCTATTAAATCAATGTACTTTCAATCAATAGACTTTACTATGATTAAGGCAACTGTTGTAAAAACGAGTTGAGAACGCAATGAGATATTGCAAACAACCACGCTAGAATTTCGTGAGCTTGGCAGTAGTTACCTGTTCTGTCTGGCCTGTGGGCTGGCAATGAAGGAAGCCGGCTTCGTGGCTTCGATGGCTGATGAAGACACTTGTGTTTTAGGTTCAGGAATCGACCAGCGTACGTGGGCGCAACGATTCCAGGACGGGCATGTCAGCGAGAGGCTGCCGGCGGAGTTGCCGTGGTACGGCGTCGCGCGTCCGTGTGTGCGTGGGGAGGCAGAGCGGGGAGCGGGTGGGGGTTCCCAGGGAACAGCAGCGCGTGCTGGCCGCGGGGCTGGGC